CATCTCTTCATTTCTTTTCTCTCACCTCTCACATTGCCAGAGGGTTCGCCAGAGAGTTTCTCAAGGACCTGGAGAGAGCAGACCCGACCACGGTGATTCTCCTGCTCTTCCTTTCGCTTTTCCTCTTGCTACGGCTCCCACTCCTGTTTCTACTGCAATTCATCCCTCCTCCTCCTCCTGCACCTCCTCCTGCTCCTCCTCCTTCTCCACTTCCTCCTCCGCCGCCGCCGCCGCCGCCTGACCGTCTCCTCCAGGGTCCTCAACATCATCCGCAGCGGCGAGATGGTGTCGGCGCGCGAGACGTTCCGCATGCCATCGCAGGGCAAGTGTGAGAGGTGCGGCTACATCAGCAGCCAGCGCCTCTGCAAGGCTTGTCTCCTCCTCGACGACCTCGATGCCAAGAGGAAGGCGGCCATGATAGCCTACGAGACTTGAGGGTGGCATGTAGCCTTATGAGCCTCTCCAAGTTCCCAAGTGCCGAGCAGGCTCGGAGCCCGGCAAGGCTGTCCGAGTCCGATCTAGTATGCAAGTCGACCGCCTAGTCACAGTAAACCGCAGTATTGCTCACTGAGGCCGGACGAAGCTCACTGAGGCCGGACTCGCCGCCGATCGGACGGCGTACGGTACGGGCCCGGGTATGATGATCATGCGCCGGACTCGAACTTGAAGACCTCGGACCCCCCGCCGCCCCCGGGGCCGGGCAGTGCCGCCGTACCGTACGGTAGCGGCCTCGGCTTCCGGTCCCGGCCGGGACTCGGGAGTCACGGTAGTACCGGGCGGCCGATGCAGTACGGCCCGGCGGTGACGAAGTACTCAGGCCATCACTATACATGATGGCTACCGTCATTGGGTACCGCAGAAGATGGAAGACCTCAAGTTGTGAGTACCGCGGATGCTGGTAGAAATTTTTTTTTCATTTATTTCCCAAGGGGTGGGGTATGACTAGTAGAAAGGGTGGGCATAAATGGAGGGGTATCTTGAAACACTACCCACCTTTTAACTTGGTTTCATGTGTTTAGTAGGTAGGTGCTTCAGATATTTATCCCAACATCTAGGTGGGTACTCCTGTACATGAGGGGGTAGAGGTGATAGAATTCCAGTGAGAAGGGGTAGGGGTCACCTCGCGGGGGTGTAGAGTGGACTAGACCAGAACCTGCGATTAAGAGGAGGATAGGTAGGGTACTACTTTTTCTGGTACCGGTACTTTTACTATTGAAATACCCCGCCATATCCTAGAGTGTCCACGGTGGGGTATATACCCCTACCCATTCTTGAATGCGCAACCCCCTAGGCAAGGAGAGCAGCGGAGCGGCGAGAATGTCCAACCAGCAGGGGATCGATCGGCTGTTGCAGGCGGAGCAGGAAGCGACGGAGACCGTGCAGCGAGCGAGGAAGGGTAAGACGATGGTGCTCGCTTGCCTGCTGCGTTGACAGTTGTACATGCTCGAGATGTTGTGAGGGATGGAGAGGAGTGTTCTTTGAGAGCTGCTTTCATAATGTCTGGGGTGTAAGTCGTGCATGTCAATGCTTGAAGTTGTGAATGTTGCGTGCATTGTTGCCTGGTGTTTATGATTCTGTGAAACATGAGAACAGTTGTTGCTGCGTTCACACCATTGAAGTGCTGATGAAAGACTAATGAAAACTCTGATGGCGCACCTGATGCAAAGTTGACGCAAGTCCAGTGCGGTGCATCTTTCATCCGCTGCTCATGATGATGATTTTTCTTGATTTTTCTTGATTTCATTTCTTCATGGAGTATCTGTATAAATCGAAAATGTGTCGTTCCCGTAATCCTTGCACGTTTGATATGTGGCAATGAGAAAACAATCATGTTTGTGGATTTCTGTTGTTGGTAGAGGTGTAGCGTTGCGACAAGAAGCCATGCTATGTCGAGTGTCGTTGTATGTTGTTTGCCATGTTGAATATAGAAGTGTTGTACAAGCATGCTTTGTCTCTGAGCATGCGAGTGAATGGACAACGCGGCATCTTCTTACATGATTGCCTACAGCCAAGGCCGCTCGTATCAAGCAGGCCCGCGATGAGGCAGCGGAGGAGATTAACAAGTACAGACAGCAGCTAGAGATGGAGTACCAGAAGGTTCAGTCATCGGTGAGACCCTCGCACTCTCCGCCCTCCCCCCTGACGTCGATGCCGCAGGGGATGACCATCTCCGACAAGTCTGCTCGCTTGAACCAGGAGACTGAGGGGCAGCTCATGGAGATCCGCAGGAGTGCCGAGGTTCGTTGAGGACAAGGAGGAGGGGAGGGGAAGAGGGAATGAAGAAGATAGGAAGGAGGAGGAGGGGAGGAGAGGCAGGGGAGAAGGAGATGGCAAGACAGGAGCGGGGGAGGGAGGGCCCCGGCCCGTGAGAAATGCGAGTGGAGGTCTGACTTGTTTGGTCAGGCGAATCGCGTCAACGTCGTGCGTCAGATCCTGGCGTGGGTCTCGTCGGTAGATACGAACCCTCCCAAGTAGATGCGAGTGAGGGATGAAAGCCGGGCGGGCCTTGGGACGGAATAAACCTTGGCTATAGCGTTTGTGGAAGGAACCGGGACACGATTCTTGCTCTCTTTCTTGTGTTGGTGCTCGCTGCTTGCAAGGTAACACTGAGAAGCCCTGAGGGCCTGGCTAGAGAGCAGGAGGGCGACAGCTCGTAGCTCCTCCTAGGCCTCGGGCACATGGACTGCCAGCAGAGGCATGTCGATGATCTGAGAGGGAGTGAGCGAGTCGAGGGCAAGAGGAGGAGGACGGACCTTGATGTCGGAGTTGAGATCCATCTTGACGATTCCATCTACAGCAGGATGGTGAGCGGGAGAAGTCGAAAGTAGAGCAGGTGGGGGATCACAGAAGAGGGGAAAGGCAGGAGGTGGGAGGAGGGTTGATAGTGAGAGGGGAGGATGCGTTTCCGACCTCTTCCATCGATACCGATGAGCTTTCCTGTGCTCCCCTTGAGCTCTCCCTGCAATCCTTCAGACGAGAGCATCCGAGACAAGAAACTTCACCTGTAGGATAATGACGGAAGAGTTCTTCTGCGGCACAACCTGCACTACCACATGAGCTGACCGATCGCATCGTCCTCTCGTCTCCCCCCCAGCTCCGCTCCGCTTCCCCCACTCCTCTCAGTTCCCAGATCGCCCCGCCATCCGTCTCTCCCCCCACCCCATCCTCCTCTCCACGGGCTCCACCGCTTCGAGGTCCTCCGCCGGCACCATCTGACAGGCAAGCCAGTCAGTTTGACACTTCGCACGCAGCAGCTGAGTACCGTTGACTGTCCTCCTTGCATCTCGACTTTGCAGTCGGGGCCCTGCATATCTTTGTCAATGACTCCTCCTCCTCCTCCTCCTCCTCCTCCTCCTCCTCCTCTGTGCCTTCCTTCACTCTTCTTGACCACCCTCTCTCCCCCCTCGCATCTTCCTCCTCCTCATCCCCCGACCTTGACTTCGACGACGACACCGGTGCGATCGATGAACTCTCCGGACACGATCCGGACTTCAATGCGCTTGAGGCACCAGTTGGACACCTGCACCAACTTCAGGCGAACCTGCCGGACGAGGAGAAGCATGCAAGACAAAGCCCAACTCCTCTACATGCTCCTCCTCCTCCTCCTCCTCCTCCACATCCTTCCTTCCTCCTCCTCCCCTCTCCTTCCTCCTCCCCTTTCCATCCGCTTTACCTGCGGTGCAGCTCTGACAGGAAAGTCTCCTCCTGCAGAATCTGGTCAAACAAGTTGCCGAGGGTGAACTAAGAGGGCAGACCAGGAGTCGCAGGAGTTTGCGGGGTACCCTGGTCGAAGGGAGTTTGACCTGTCTGCCAGTTGCCCTGGCCGTATCCGTAGGACTGCAAAGAGGAGGGTGAGCAGGCAGAACGAGACGAGGGGGAACAGGGCTGAGGTGAGCTTTGAGGGCGAAAAGATAGGTTATGTTCCCCGGAGGCGCAAGCAGGAGCACGAGCAGGAGAAGGTGCAGGAGAAGGGTATGAGGGGGAGGGGGAGGTGGAGGTGGAGGGGGAGGAGCAGCAGCATCAAAAGCAAGGGCAAGGGTCACCGCATAGCCTCCGGGAGTCGATGGAGTGAAGGGACTTGCTCCTTCTCCTGGGGTGGTTGGGTTGAGAGCTCCAGGCGTCTGAACGTAGTTGCTGCAGACACGTCAAGGGAGGTAATCAGGCACAGGAGATGAGATGAGAGGAGAGGAGAGGAGAGAGCTGGAATAGCAGCACAGGAGGAAGATATCAACCTGCTGTAACCACCATATGCCGTAGGAGTAGCTGGGGTAGCAGCGGGATGTTCGTAGGGTGAGGCCTGGGATGAGAGTGAGAGGTGGAGAGGAGAAGGAAATGGTCAGTCTACGTAGGCTCCAGGAGTAGCAGGAGTCCCGGCATCCCATGACTGAGAAAACAGTCAGCACGAGGTAAAAGAGAGTGAGGGAGGAAAGGAGAGGGAAAAAGAGACAGTTGGAGGCAAGCACGCTAAGGGAGCAAGACTCATGTTGCGCAACGGGTGAAGGGGAAGCAAGTAGGAGGGGTCAAGCGAGTGTACCGTGCTGTCGTGCATGGGGGTACCAGGAGTGTTGGGATCGAAGAAGTTACGAGGAGTTGAAGGCGTCCTAGTCTCAATATGTCATTCTCGTCCTCTTTCTCCTCCTCCTCCTCCTCCTCCTCCTCCCTCCCTCCCTCCCTCCCTCCCATCCTCTTCCCCTTCTCCCCTCATTCGACTTCCGTTCTATCTTCCTCATTTCCTATCCGCACAATCCCTAGCAGCCCATGGTCCTCAGCTCACCCTGGCTCCGCATAAGGGTTCGGCGTCTGGCTGCCATCGTGAGCAGGAGTGGAAGGAGTCCATGCAGGCGTCTGACTTCCGGCCTGTGTTCCCAGTCTCAGCTCCCGACAGTTCAGCAGGGACCAGTTCAGCTGGCCTTCACCTGGAAGTGATCGGAGGAGGGAGTCTGCGGGATGGCCATGTGGGAGGGGATAACACGCTTCTCATCTTCACAAGAAGTTAGTTAGTCTCCTCCTCTCCTTCTCTGGCTGCATTGAGTATAGAACCACATCCTCCTCTTCCTCCTCTCCCCTCCCTCCCTCCTCTTTGGCCTCACCGACGAGATCGACAACATCCGTCTTCTTCACAGCAACCTGCGCCACCCCTCATCGATCCACAGGTGATAGGTGCTCTGCTCTCTGACCTTCTTGTGAGTCGCATCAAGTTCAACGCGGCAGATCGCGTCCGTCTCCTCCTTGACAGTTCCCACCTGAGCTCCAGCTCTCACTCCCCTCTCCTCCCCAGACCCTCCTCCCCACCTTCCCCTTGTCGAAACCTCGGATGATTCGAACTCGCTTCCCCTCCCATGACGCTCCTCGTCCTCTCCCAGCTGCCCTGAAGCCTCCTGGCTGCATCGCACCGGCTCCTCCCATGCCTCCAGGGAAGCCTCCTCTCCCCGCGTCTCCCATACGGCCAGGGATGAGAGAAGCTGCGCAAGCTCGTCAACCTCAGCGCGAAAGACCCCAGAGGCTCACCGGCTCCGCCGAGGGTGTTGGTGGGATCGTTTTCCTAGGGGCAGAGGTCAGCTCCAGCAACGCCCCTCACTCCCTTCACCTTGTGCTTACTCTGACCCATCAGCACACACTGCCTCGACCTCATCACAAACATTCCTGAAGGTAGTTCCCATCAGTCAACCCTCCGTCCCCTCCCGTCGGCGTCCCCTCCCCTGCCCATCCTCCTGTCCTCCCGTCCTCACTTCCTCCACTCCCACCTGCATTCTCCATCCTTGCAGGCGAATACAGGAACAGGAAGGCGCGGAAGATGTGGCGGACAGTTCCTGTCTTGCCCTTCATCGGGCCATCTCCCACGACCCTCACGACGTCTCCCTGTCAGTCCTGCCCGTCAGCTGCAAGTGAAACTCCCAGCTCCTCCCCACCTGCGCGATCGTCTGCTGCTCCCCGTCAAGAGCAACAGCTGTGGCGCTCTTCTTGTGCGGCTGGACATCAGCAGGGCGGACAGCTCGGATCTTCCCGTAGTTGTCGAGGACCTGCCAGTCAACATCACAGGCCATCGCTCCTTCCCCCACGCGTCAAACGCACTTGAAGCGTATCCTTCTCCAGCTGAACGACTACCCCGACAGAAGGCATCGTCATCGAGGAGGAAGCAGATTCTGCAGGTCAAGCGCATCAGCAGGTCTGTCCGTTGAAGACAAGAGGAAGGACCGAGCAGGACAAGATCATAGAGGCGGAAAGCGCCGACGACATCCAGGCCCGAGCTCACCTAGAGTGCAGGAGTGAGGGACGCGAGGAGGACTCGCCGAGGAGGCGAGAGGAGTAGGATAGAAGGAAAGAGGACGGGCGAGATAGATGAAAGAGGAGAAAAGTTACCTCGTTGGTGTCCTGCAGATCGGAAGAGAATACGAGGATTTCCTCGCGGTTGACGTCGGTCAGGATGTAAATCGTCTCTCCCTCCACTCGAACAACAGTTCCAGTCACTCCTGCTCGTCTGCCATTGACAACCTGCAGTAGACCATCATGTCTTTGAAGCTCGAGGCAAAGAGAATGAAGAAAGGAGGAAGGAGAAAGGGAGGCAGAGGAAGGAGAAAGGAGGAGGGAGGAAGTAGGCGAATCGAACAAGTCCGAGGATACCTTGACATGGTCACCAGCTTCGAAGTATTTCTCGAGCTCTTCCATGTTGAACTCCAATTTCTGCTTGATCGCCTCGTGGCGCGGCCGAATGATGACCCTCTTGCCGTCTATCGAGTCGACGTCTCCCAGCAAATCTCTCAGCTCTCCTTCCTTCACGCGCACAACATCTCCTTTGTTCAAGATAACTTTGCGCTTGTGGATAGACGTCAGGTGTGTCATGGATCGGTTCGGGAGCCCGTCCTCAGTCTTGGCGTCTTGTTCAAAGATTTTGAGATCGTCTAACTCCGGTTGGATGTCACTCCCGAGAGTGAGACTCTGCGAAAGCAAATGTGAAGACAACACAAGGCAACGCAAGCTCGGCTCACCTTGACTGCAAACCATTTCTTCACGAATCCTCCGCCGGTGAAGGTAAAATCGCCGTCAACAGTGTAAACGTTGTCTCCAGAGCTCTGGTCTCGATGATTCTCGATTCCCCACCTGACATATGAGATCAGCATGACTGCACCATCGCACACACATCAAAGCAGCCTACTTGTCAAGATCAGACTCGCCGTAGTTGTCGGGGTTGAAGAGCCTGCGCGGCGGGATGAACTTTGACCTGCGTTTCTTCGCCTCTGAATCATCGAAGGCGCTGTAGTCGTTGGTGTCAACCCTCGGGACAAGTTTGACTTCCACCTGAAGACAGCAGGTCAGAGCGGGGACGAGGGAAAGGGACACTCCTCATACCTCATTCCGGTTGTGTTCGACAGCCAGCACTTGCACGATGTCTCCCTTGTACTTGCCACGTCGGACACGCGCCCAACCACCAGGCTGAGCGCTGAGAGACTTCTTGATGATGACGACGGTGTCTGTCATCTCCTTCACGGGAACAAGCTTCATCTTTGTGGCGTAGACTCCTCGAAGGCCGCTGAGAGCCTCCTTGACAAATGCCTCCTTGTACGCCTCGACATAGATGTAGCCGAGAGACTGTTCGTTCCAGTATGCGCAAGTAATATGAATCGGTTTGCCTTCTTTGGCCAACGTGACAAACTTGTTCATTAGCTGAATCACCAGCGTCTTCTCAGTTCCATTGGCAACTTTAATACACCACACTTTTGGGTCTTTGGTTGCATCAGGAAGCCTTGCGTTCTTGACGTTCTCGTCGGTGATGCCGTCTAGAGCTTCATCATCATGCATGGCGCCGCGGTATCTGGCATCAAGATCCTCTTGTGTCAGATCGGCAGTTAAGAAGTCGTGCCTCCTGTAACTGTTGCGCATCTGTGCAGCCATCTTTTCAGCCTCGTTGTCGCTGAGTTCTTCTTCTCCATCACTATCTTCATCTCTTCGAGATTTCTTTGACTTCTTCCTCTTCTTTCTGTCATCTTCCTCCTCCTCCTCATCGTCGTCATCGTCAGCAGCGTCGTCCACGTAGTACGAGCGTGATCGTTTTCCTTTCTTCTTACCTCTCGACTCCTCGCGTTCGTCTTCCTCCTCACTTTCTTCATCAGCCTCTACCTCCTCGTCTTCGTCGTCGTCCTCTTCTGCGTCTGAGTTCTTCCTGTCCTTGGAAGCACGTCTATCGTCATCACTGTCGGACTCTACCATGTTGCGGGTCGAACTGTTTCAAACGTGCATCAGCGATCAAGAAGTGATCAACAATGGTGGAACACTGTACACTTATGAGTGCAACGGCACTTACACGACATGAGAACGAGAAACAAGCGATGAGGGTGTGACTCAACCATGATAGGAAAATATCGAGTGATATGTGCGCCATGAAAACAACAGGGCAGACCAGAAGGAGAAAACAGACGTGTTCAAAGATGAATGAAACGAAAATGGGGAAAGGAAGGTTCTGGAATGGGAGTGATGATGTTTTGTGTGTTGAGGGGAGAAAGAAGAGGAGAGGGAGCTAGATAAACAAGGCGTAGTAAGGCAGCACGGCAGTATGAGAGTACGAGAGGGAAGTCAGAACAGGAGACGAGGGGTGAAGGAGGGATGAGGGAGTGCAAGAGCAGATGTTGAGTAAGGAGTTAAGAGTTAGGAATAGGCCAAGCAGAGGTACTGTGGGGAGATCGGGAGGAAGAGACCAAGAAGGGAGGAGGGAGGAAGTTACAAGAGACCAAGAAGGGAGGAGGGAGGAGGGAGGAAGTTACTAGAGACCAAGAAGGGAGGAGGGAGGAAGTTACTAGAGACCAAGAAGGGAGGAGGGAGGCAGAAGGAGGGAGGGAGAGCATCAGAACGAGGGAAGGAGATCGTGTGGGAGGGAGAGGAGTAGCGTGAGGGGGGGAAGGGAACATGGTGGCAGAGCGAGCGAGGATAATGAAGCAACACAGTGGTAGGGTAGTCTTCCAGCTACCGGTGTGTAAATCACCCCTACCACATCTTTGACTGCAATCAACAGTACATTTATGGGGTAAGAAGGCCAGACATGCATCGTCAGGGAGGGTACGGTGCTGAGACATGGACCGGGTAGCATACTACCCCACCCTACAAATAAACTGAGCAGACGAGGACTCAGGATGAGGGGGTGATGTTTGTAGTACCGGTGCATTGCTAGTCATAACCACCGGTGATAAATATTCCTTCCTTGTAAAACTTCAAGTTCCAAACTCCCGTGAGAGTCACAGAGTCAGCCCGGGCCGCCGCCGCCGGAAACCGCCGGGCCCGGAACCTCCTTTACTCAACTCGGCGTTGCGTTATATACTTCGGAGCCGGGAACCTGAGCCTCGGAGTACGGGACCGTGAGTGAACGACTCAGTCGAACCGGCGTGGCCCGCCGGTGGCGGCGGCCCGGAGTCACTGGCAGCCGGCCGGGCCAGGCCAGGCCCCCGGCCCGGGGCCCGGCGCTCAGTGCGGCCCGGCCGGCGGCCGCGGCCCGCCGATGTCACCTTCCGAGTTCCGAGTTCCGAGACTCACGCCGCGGCGCCGCCCTACGTCGTCCCTATTGTAGCTGTTGCTGTCCTTTCAGTGCGCTTGTGCACAGAGCCACTGACCTGAGGTGAGGCTCCGGATCAGAGTCATTAGTTGCCTAAACCCCGAGCCGTGGCAAACAGAGCGGGGGCAAATCCCCCTAGACCCCATCCTTGCCCCGGTTCCCCCAAGAAACACCTTGCAAAGTCCTTTCTTAAAAAGGAAAAAAAAATCCGGGGGGGGGGGGGGGGTGAGTAAAACTCTAAAAGTTAAGATCGTGGTACAAATTATAATATTATTGACTCTGAAAACCAAACGGTAGTAAGGTTAAAAACCGCCGTGTAACGGCAGGGACAGCTAATCCTACCCTATTTCAAATCCTCAAACACGCCACCCCCCAATCCACCTAGAAAGCAGAACAACCCCCCCCCCCCCCCAGAAAAGCAAAATGACAACGCTTCACTACATGACCATTTTTTTTTTCCGAAACACGGTACGAAATACTCCGAAGCCAGGAGCTAACGAGGGAGGAGCGGAGGAGGGTGGGGGTCATAGGGTCAGTGAGAACGGCGAGCCATGCAGGGCGGACTTCTGTCCACGCAGCCTTCGCTCTGTGCTAGCAGCAGCAGCCTCCATGGCTCCTGGTGCTCCCCCCTCGAGGACGCCATCTCCCACATGGTCGTACGGGCCGATGACCTCCTCTCCTTCATCGACTTCGCCGAGCTTGACGTCGATCTTGACGACCAACACTGCCTGGCAGCTTCGCCAGCGATGCAGGACATGGCAGTAGCGGCAGCTGCTCGGGAGCTACCGGAGGTCGACGACGCACCAGCCTCCCCAGCCATCGCGGCTGCTCAGCCAGGCGCGGTGGTCCGACCGCAAGAGCTTGCGCTGGCCGAGGACAAGACAAGGAGGAACTACACCAAACAAGCTTGCTTGGCGTGCAAGCGGAAGAAGCAGAAGTGCGAGGAAGGGAGGCCGTGCCATCGCTGCATCAACGGGCTGAGGACATGTACGGACGTGGCACCGCGTCAGCGGAGGAGGCGGAGGGCGTGGGCTCGAGGAGTAACGCAAGGCTAGCTGCCTTCATGTTACAGGATAAGAGTAGAAGGAATTGCCGAGAGGAGTATCGAGATGATCGTTTGTGTGGACATCTAGAGGACATCATGGCACTGGAGATGGAGACTCTAAAAAAAGAATAAATGCATCTTCAGCTTTAAAAGAAAGAATTGTCTGCAGAATTTTCGTGAAAAGAAAGAATTTTCTGCCAAATATCCCACCTTGTTCATTGCAGAGGTTGTAAATCTCTGCCCCCTTTTGGTTCAACCATGCAGAAAAGTGACGCACGAGCTTGTTGAATTACTCGGAATGGCAGAAGAGACAATTCCTTGTCACAATTCGTGTGTGAACGTGTAATCTTGCCCCATGCCCAGCATACAAGGCAACGCCACCGCTTGATTCGCTCAATGGCCCCAACACGGCCTGATGGAACCTGACACAGAAACCAAGAAAAAGCCTCTTGCGGCATGAGAATAGCATAATCAAACAGAGTGGGAGAATGTCCCACCATTCATCCTTCTCCCTCCCTGTCACAGTGTTCTCCTATATTAGTATGCCGCTCGGACTGACCGTCCACAAGGCCAGTGCCGAGATGTGGCATGGAGTGCCAAAGTTGGAGGAGCAGCCATCTTCGCAGACTGTCCGATGGCATGCCACGAATTACGTCAACCCGACCTGTAGCATACATCGTCTACAGTTTGTGATTATGTTGTCTTGCACGTTTGCATTCGATTCAGGTGCTTACCGATATATCATTCGCGCAACAGCTGGTACATAAGAATGCGACGTTTCCCGACTTGCTCGAGGACGAGAGGCCATGCCATCGCTGCGTCAATGCACACAGGAAGTGCACGGACGACGACACGGAGAGCGTGAAGAGGAGAAGGCACACAACTAAGTCAATGTCATCGAGAATCTTTAGATTTCACAAAGTATAGTATACTGCATGCGAACAATTCTACTTTCAGCTCTCAAGTCCGCATCAATCAACAAAGATGGATGTCAACGACTTTACTGGACGGACATGCAGTACGAGGGTATATGAATAACGGAAATACGACCGATGCTGTGCACCAGAAACCCTGGGCACCTGCTTTCCAGCTCCACAAGAGAAGAGACATTGCAAACGACATTCGAAAGCCATTCAACACAGATCTTTGTTCTCGTCTCTGATTCTCTCGCTCTTTCCTAGAAAGGCGTTGGCGGATTGAGAAAGGATTCTCCAGAACGACAGATGGAAGATACCAAGCCAGCTTTCCTCCGGGTAACTCATAGATAGGTTTTGTTGCAAACCTGGGCAATCATGCAAGAAATAACAGCGATGGGGCTGAAGGACACATTCGAACAGATCTCTTATATTTTAAGTCCCTTGTAGAGACCTGAAACAAGCTGCTTTGACACGCGTTCACTGTGGTCGAGTCATCAATTGACGGAGAACTGATAGGCAGATTGTGTGAAGTTGCGGGGTTATATGGGACAGCAACGAAAACAAATCGGCTACAGGTATCCCAGACTCTCTTGTTTGTTTTGATCTTGGTCGAAAAGATACAAACTAATGTGGGACTTGTTCCACAACGTAGCAAGGTGCACAGATTTGTTTATGTATCAGCAGTAGCAAGATAACGTATGAGGGGACTGATGTGAGAGAGATGGTGAGGTAACGGGCAGCGCAAGTGGCCGCTCCTGCCCAGGCTTAAATAGTGTCGTAAATGATTTTGGTAATGTACGGTCAAGCCTCATGCTCGTAGTACTATACCTGTTGTATGTACTGAGTTTACGACTAGCCCCCAGGTCCATCGTACAGGATGCACCCTGCCACGTTGGGCATGGTATGCACACAGTCGGTATGTGAGGTATTTCATATAAAACTTCATATTGCCCTTATAGTTTTCGCTATTTCGAAATGATGCTGTTCCATCGTTACAAGTGCAACGATGTCATGGGTACAACATCACAAACTTCATTAAACCAAGATTTACAAAGAACCTTGTCTGATTCCCTCCTCTTTCTTTTAGTCCATCACTCCAAGGTCTCATGGAAGTTTAAAAAATCCTACCTTCTCAACTTCCCTCGCTTCGAACAAGAGCACTTGCTCACAACCTTCCAAACAGTAGCAGCAAAGGTCGTTGTAATCATGAATCGCTTCAACATCGCGGAAAGGCCGACAGGGGCCGGTGACGAGCGAGGGGAAAGCTAGTAAGGCTTGTAGACAGAGGTTGGTGTCTCGTTCTTGAAGCTCCTCCAGCAGACAGCAGTTACACTCAAATACACAGATCAGCCTCCACCAGAGAAAGATCCCTTTGAGCCCACGCCCTCCGCCTCCTCCGCTGACGCGGTGCCACGTCCGTACATGTCCTTAGCCCGTTGATGCAGCGATGGCACGGCCTCCCTTCCTCGCACTTCTGCTTCTTCCGCTTGCACGCCAAGCAAGCTTGTTTGGTGTAGTTCCTCCTTGTCTTGTCCTCGGCCAGCACAAGCTCTTGCGGTCGGACCACCGCGCCTGGCTGAGCAGCCGCGATGGCTGGGGAGGCTGGTGCGTCGTCGACCTCCGGTAGCTCCCGAGCAGCTGCCGCTACTGCCATGTCCTGCATCGCTGGCGAAGCTGCCAGGCAGTGTTGGTCGTCAAGATCGACGTCGAGCTCGGCGAAGTCGATGAAGGAGAGGAGGTCCTCGGCCCGTACGACCATGTGGGAGATGGCGTCCTCGAGGGGGGAGCACCAGGAGCCATGGAGGCTGCTGATACTGCTGCTACTGCTACTGCTACTGCTGATGCTGATGAGATCACTAGTGGTGGTGGTGGTTGTGTTGTTATCATTGGTGGTCGTGTAATGGCTTAGCATGCTCGATCTCCCCGCACAGAATTTTTGCGCAGGCCTTTACTTCCGCCGCCGCCAGCACCCACCCCCTGATCTCCCATCATTCTCCTATCCAAGGACCCCTCGATGTTCGGAGTTTTCGAGGTGCACTCGTCCATTGCATCCGAAAAAAACCTTCAAGGCTTGTTACTCACGACTAGTATCATGGTATATCCCCGCGACCACCGCACACCCCACTGTTAAAGCTCCCCCTGACGGGTACTCGCAGCTCTCACGCCGGCCATGCCGTTCACAAGGCCATATGCAGGCTCTAGCAAAATTGGTCTTTTTTTTCTCCTTGGGAAGGGGTTCATATATACACTTCCATTCAGCTACCCCGGTTTTTGCTCTATTACTGGGGGGTAGTGAGACAGGGATAAAGTAGGGTGGGGTGATTTGAATTATACTGGCGTGGTACCCTGTCCCCCGCCTTACTTTTTGAAGCACTTCATTTTAATTGTTTAGTCAGCGCTTCAATCGTACACATCTATGTACGGATGAAGTGCCTCTGGTACAGTCTGTACTATTCTTTTAAAGTGGTTTCGACAGGCGTCTCGAATAAGCCTCCACCCTAGTGACTTCCTTTGTCTGGAGGGGTAGAGGACCGAAAGATTCTCTCATACCCGTGCATTTCACTGTATCACGGTACGTGGGGGTGCTAATGGAAAAGAAGGCATTTCGATTGCCGTTTGAGCTCACCACGCCAATACCCCCGGTTCCCCTTCATCACCTTTACGAAAGGCGGGGTGGGTAGCTAGCAAAGAATACAAAACTACCCTTTGATTCAAGAGTTTGAAATTGGGAAATAGGGGGTAGGGTGCTATCTCCACTCTCCTCTCCCCAAATCCCCCCTCCCTGGGCAAGCAAGAGATGGCTGCTTGATCCTTCACCCGCATGCAACGACAAGTCATCATGGTGAGAGGCTTCGAATCTATTGCTGCTTGAATGTGGATGAGAATTTAATCGTCTAATGTATCCATGTAGATAGACTAAGACCTTTTCTTAGTCTCTGACTTTGAAAGAAAGTTTTGAATTCCGCTTCTCTTACATGACTGCATGACAGAGAAAGCTGTCTAGGAATGAAGATGTCTTTAGAATACATTGAAAAAGATGAATACACCTTTTCTGCTCTCTTATTCGTTGTTTCAAGCATGAGAGCCGTATGTATGAGGATTCAGAGAGGAAGTATGGTTTACAATGCTGCACCATCAGTTTGCAAATGAGGTGCTTTCATGCACTCCAATCTTGCAAATATGCTAGAAAAATTCAAGTAATTGCAGTTCAGATCCTCAAAAGCAACATCTTCACATTATTTCTGCTTGAGCATGCATTCAAGATGCTCAAGGATCAACATGCTCCACGTAGCTGTGGCGACATGGAAAGTCTGTTTCAACCACAGGATGAGAATCCTACAGCAATCAATGTGGCTTACTAGAGCTACAAGCATACATTGTGCATAATTAGGTTTATTTGCAACTTTTTGATGTATCTCTGCTATGCAGGCACAACGAAGAAACCAATGTGAGGCTTATTGTGCTGACCATTGAACATGTATTTGATGCTACTTGCGGTTGTCATTGTAATGAGATTATTGCAAAGAATGATACCTCATGAATGTATAAAGATTTCTGCAATCAGATCACTACCACTTTTGATGTCGATCCCAAGCTTACAGTGAGTCGGAATGGTCTACAGGGGAAGCGATGTTTTCATCATCATTCAACCCCTGCATGCATTCTGCATTTATGTGAAATGAAAGAAGATACAGAAATGCTCTTTAGCATGGCCTCGAATGCAAGACTGAGATCACTTTATTTCACAATAGAACAAATAATACATGTGTGCATACTGTGTTGACGGTTCAAATGTCCGACATCACAGCTAGATGAACGCTCAAAACTAATCCCACGCATCAAGAAATCAACACACTCTGCAAATCTGAGAAGTGGAGACTCTCGACGGTGTTCAAGGCTTAAGACGTCTTGATTGCCTCTGGCGGCATCAGTGTTTACATGCAATCAAACATCCTAACTGCAGTAGGCGAAATGCATGCAGAAATCTTGTGAAACAATCTATGCAATGCTTGATGTCTAATATAACAAGTGAGCTTGACTAATTACGTGGATCTGCAAAATGATGCAATCTCCATCAAACAAATCTTCAAGGCATCGCATGTGGAAAATATGCAATTCAAAAATCATTCATCACAGGGAAGTATCTTATGATTATTCTGCCATAAGGTTGGTGTCAAGTCAAAATGACAAGCGATCTCCTACACTGGATTCAAACCTCATGTTTTCATCATCTTGTTCTTCATAATAACCTTTTGAACCATGGATCTCACAACGCCATTGCTGCACACTGTGTTGTCACCGAACGCATCACCACGAACCTAGCGGTCTCAGGTCTCAAACTGTGCTGACTAGAGAGCTTCAAACCTAACAAAGCCTTGCATGCTGAGATCTGATGCTGGCTACAGCAGCGGATGGTCTTACAGCGGCATCGTTGGAGGAGCAGCTTTGGTGCTACGTGCCGGCGTGTAGGGGAGACATGAGTCGGGCGTGTACGATGTTGAAAACATTTCAACCCTCTGAAATGAAAGTTAAAATACATGTAAAGGCCTAGCAGAAATGATAACTAAACTGCACTGGTACTCTTTGGAGGTATCTCTTGCTGCCGTTGAAAACTTGTTTGAATTCACACGCCACCCCAAAAAAAACTTTCTCGAAAAGAAGAGTGGAAATTAACGAAAGGGCTAAAAGTGAACGGCATGCAGTCATGCCCTACTTTACTCAAAGTTAAGTTGAAAATCAGTACGACCACTAGTCACTCTTGCGGCTATCTCCGAGGCTCCGGCTGGCGGCGGGCCGGCCAATGCTAGCCGGTCGCTGCCCGAGGCAGACGTGACACCAGGCTGCGTGACTCTCTCGCTTCCCGGTAGTGTTTGCTCAAAGTTAAGTTAAAAATCAGTTTCCGAGCCTTCACTGTCAGTTATAAAAACATTTTAAACATTACTGTTCAAGGCTTCTCGATACTATGATAACCCGGGCGTTGACCGACTCGGACCGGGCGCCCCGGCGGCTGCGGGCCGCGCCGAGTCAGGCTGAGTGTCAGTGGTCACTTGTGACTCTGTGACGTCACGGCACGGTAGCCTAGTACTCACTCGGAGCGCGGCGCGGTGTGACTACCGTACCGTACCGGGCCGCCGCCGTAGCCGGGCTGGGCTCCGCCGCTGTGCCGCGCAGTGACCGTGCCCCTGGCACCGGGTGCCCGCCGCGATGATCGGAGCCTCACTTGAAACTTCCGACCGGCGGTTCCCGGAGTCCGGAACCGTGTCGAGCCTGACTCAGTCCGAAGCCTAGGCCCGGCGGCCGGCGGGGCCCGTCACAGTGATTCATTGAACTCCGACCGTACCGTACCTCCAAGGAAAGCCCGGCGTCCGAGTGACCGGTCAACGATGGCTGGGCTCAACGCGGCTGCCAGCGCGGCTGCCACAGGCTCCGACTTCCGTACGGCTCAGTCATGAGAGCCGGGCTCCCGGAGTCCCGTACTTTCACGGTACGCACGGTTAGCCGGGGCCTACCTAGTAGCCTCCCGGGTGGCAGGCGCGGCCCTCGGGCCGACAGGCCGGGCTGGGCCGGCCCTCACTGGGTGACCCGGTACGGTAGTACTGCGGCAGTAGCCTGGGTGGCCGCTGACTCTGTGAGGCGGCCCTCGGGCCGCCCCCCCGGCGGGGGCACGGCCAAGCCCCTCTGGCAGCCTGGCAGGGCCTGCCAGCCGCTGGCTCAGACTCCGGGAGCCCCCGTCACGGTCCGAGACCGTCCGATCACTGGCACCCGGCTGTCGGCCACACTCAGGGTGACCCCCTGAGTCTGCTAGATCAGCGTGACGTGGCATACAACAACACTCAAAGAGCACTGAAAGACTCTCACCGACCCTTCTACTTGAACTAGTAGCTAAAGAGGCTGACCCTCAAATATTACTAATAGATTGAGTCCTTCAGTCCATCATACTATTTTCTAGGCTACACGTCGATCCATCCGAAGATCTCCGTTGGACTCTCAGTGGATGATGTGGTCCGTGCCAACTTCGACGTACGGCCCGGCTCTGGGTAGTTCACTGACTTGTAGGTCATTGACTTGTAGGTCATTAACATGACTTGTAGGTTGACTTGACTTGTAGGTGATTGACTTGTAGGTGATTGACTTGTAGGTGATTGACGTGTAGGTGATTGACTTGTAGGTGATTGACTTGTAGGTGATTGACTTGTAGGTGATTGACTTGTAGGTGATTGACTTGTAGGTGATTGACTTGTAGGTGATTGACTTGTAGGTGATTGACTTGTAGTTTTTTTCCATGAGGCTGACAGTTTTGATCGAACAAGCCAAACTCACTGTCGTGAGTAACAATCGAGTGCTGATTGAGATCGCAGTATTCTGGTACAACTGCAGCATGTCTCTTACGGGCTCGGAGGGTATCAATACGTTTGTGGCAGGCCATCTGTTCACGGGGCCGAAGAACACACTGATTGAGTACAGCAAGCCGGTCTGTCGACAGCTGCGAGAGTTTGGGTTCGCAGGCAAGGAGCAATCCGTTTCAAAAGAGCTCGCAAACTCGATACACGAGATCTCGAAACCTTTACATAGCATGCAAGTATGCCGAGCACTATCGACCTCGACCGGAATTTCCTGCAACTGGTCGTTGAGTACTTTGATGGTTTCAGCCTTGCTGGCCGTCAGGTCTGCCATCATTCTGTCATACCTCTCAATCTGTTTGGCCTTGAGCTCCCTGATGATTTTCTCCAGTCTCATGTGCTCCTGTATCTTTCGATCGAGCAGGAAAGTCAAGACCCTAGTATTCCTCTTATCGCCTGATCCTCGTGCTTGTTCTGTGAAGAAGTTCTTAAGTTGGATGTAGTCGTTTTCGGGGAGCGTGCAGTACCGCCGAGTAGGCCATCTGCAGGAGCCAAGTCTGCAGCAACACAAGTCAAGTTAGCGCTGCATCGCAAGCATACTAGAGTGGTGGTAAGAGATCCCCCGCAAGGAGTTGGCCATGGCGAGAATGCTACTGCGCTAGCGGCTGCCAGCACTTGCAAGCCTGAGCCCCTCCTGTGAATCGGCGACGTGATGCTTGCTAGAACGATCGTGCGTAGGGTACAAGACTTGGTATGCTACAGCACGGGTGCTGTCGGTGTTGTTGGTAGGATCGGAGGGTGGTAAGAGGACCCCTTTCTGCCCACTCACTCTCGAATCACGGGGGCCTCCAGACTGCAAATTACGGGTGCCGCACGGGTACGGCGGAGCAGCTGGGGCCGCATATCACCTGTCAGTCCTCCTCTGACCCCATTCTGCTGATGAAGCGCATCGTTGTTTTCGGGTCTCTCTCGTTTTTCGAGTTTCACGGTCATTCGGTTGGCTGAGGACACTGCTGCTTTCTCAGTTTCGAATGCTCGAATACCAAGGCAGGTCAGGATCCACAGTTTTAGATAGTTCTGTGAGTTTGTCTTGTCTGAACCAAGGTCCCATGGTCCAGATTCGTCATGCGCTATCTACAGCATGCTCCGATGCAGGTCGGTTGGGATGCACTGTGAATCCGTTGGCGATCCAATGCTTACAAAAAGAACGAGCGATCATCGTGATAGCTCAACGCGCGACAACCTGGCTGTGCCGTGAGCTCCCAATGTCGGCCCAGTTGGTAGAGGATGCACGTCTGCTTCTTCTGGCGGCATGATACACAAGCTTGCTTGGTGTGTTTGTTGTTTGTGGATCTGTGCACGTTCAAAGTCGGCAGAGCTGCTGCTGTCCCTTCCTCCTCTGCCTCACACGCTGGTACCGACGTAGACTCGAACTCAGCGTGCTCGTCGTTGCTGCTCGGCTCCAGGTCTGCGAAGTCTATGAACGAGGCGAGGTCATGGGGCTCAACGACGATTTCAGAGATGATCAAGGGGGAGAGGAAGCCGGTGGCATTAGTTATTTGTATATCACTTATCAGAAACAAATACAATGATGGTCATTTGTAGTGAATCATATTGCATTACATCATGCACATTGCATTACATCATGCGAGAATATGATTGGTAGTCTACCATATCACAGAGTATCGTTATGACACATTATGCGAACAATTGTCATCGGTAGGCCATCGTAATTTCTGTGCTACTACTATATCAGACATTTAGCCATGCTCAAGAGAACACAGTGCCTCGGTATTTGGAAACCATATCGTCTCGTGCTCGTACCGTCTTACCCTGGCAAATGCATGCGGAGGTATACATCGCAAATCCGATGTACTTGACACACTTACCTGTGTAAGAGACTTTCTGGCAACGGGCTATCTGTTGATTTGGTCCTGACCTGTCTGCTGCATGTGGCGCCTGAGCATCACATCAAATGAAACGATTGATAGGACTCCATTTAAAGCCGGCCGCCAGTATTCTATGCAGATCGGATTATTCTTCATGAGATAATGGTCTGACATGTCGATGATTGCGGTGCCAGCGTGACTGTGCGTGTTATACACACAACCTTCGAGAACAAGATAGATCACTAGAACAATCAAGAGTTGTGTTCATTAGTGAAGACAACCAAGCAGGGCAGACTACTGCTGCTCGCTAGGAAGTGAAGCTCTTTCATTGTCACGTGCCGTCTAGGTGTGCGGCTCATCTACCACAAACCAGCCTTGTTGTGATGTAAATTCAAATTGTTTGATGTGTGCCTTCAGATACTGTTCATTCAAATATTAGTCGATTTTTCGGATACAGTGCCCATACCCCGTGAACAAAAAAATGTTCTTATTCCTTGCAGATGGAGTGCAGAAACCACTCTATTACCTTGCAGATCAGGTTGGTAAAATCAAAATCAAAGACATGTCATTGAAAGAAGAAGTTGTGGTCACGACATGCCATCGAGTCAATTTGATGTTTACAATGCTTCCTCTTGATTACAAAGTCCCTTCACACCTCAGCTTCGTGTTGATCATCCACCGAGAGGCTTACAACAAGTGCATCCCTTGAAAAGTTGACCCGTATTCTTCTCTTCCCATACGTCATCGTCAACCCAGTGATCAGCAACAAAGCCTAACAATAGCGCTCTCTTTCTGCGAATTGCTGAAACCTGTCAGCTCAAACTACTAGGTGCATGGTTCAAACCCTCAGCAGGATCGTCAAGCCTTCTCCTCTTCAAGCTCTCCGTGTCGTCGTCCGTGCACTTCCTGTGTGCATTGATGCAGCGATGGCATGGCCTCCCGTCCTCGCACTTCTGCTTCTTCTGGCGGCATGATACACAAGCTTGCTTGGTGTGTTTGTTGTTCTTCACAAATCTGTACGCTTCAAACCAAGTGATGGCTGGGTCCAGAGTAGTCGCAACGAGGAGCGGCAGAGCTGCTGCTGTCCCTTCCTCCTCTGCCTCACACGCTGGTACCGACGTAGACTCGAACTCAGCGTGCTCGTCGTTGCTGCTCGGCTCCAGGTCTGCGAAGTCTATGAACGAGGCGAGGTCATGGGGCTCAACGACGATTTGAGAGATGGCGTCGTCGAGGGAGGAGGCGGAGAGGTTGGACTTGGGGTCGACAGAAGGTATGCAGTCACCAGGAGGGAGGAGGGTAGGGGAGGAGCAGATCAGGGAGGAGAGGACGCCGGTGACAGGGGGGGAGGCGAGCATTGGAGGCTGCCGGCGGGGAGGAGGAATTCAGTGCAAAATATCCACACGTTTTTTACCCCGAACACCCTCACTCATTTACAGTACCCACCCTCGTGATACCCCTGATCACACTAGCAAACACAGTACCTTACTACCCCATTCCCGTTTTCGGGCGGAAGCTTCGCTTTCAAGACCGCATCGGTTGGTGTGAAAGGTGCCGTCGTGGTAGTAAAGTACTTGATCCGATGGTAACATGACCTGATGACAGGGGTTGCTCTGTTCCATGTAGGGGTCCATATAAGCAAATCATAGGGGTCCGTAGGAGACATGACAGGGTCCATTATAATTGAATTTAGATGACCAGCGCTACCTGCTGACTGTCGACTCGTGAACGATAGACAGACCCCCGCATCTACCATGATTTCAAGGGGTCCTGGCCCAACATGTAGGCAAACTCAGCAGTCACGTTACTCTCGGCATCATGATGTACAACTGCGTAAGTTCCAGGCAAAATGCGGGGGTCCTATATATGAGGCTGGGACCCACCGGTATTTTTGAGGTAGCATAACGGGGTAGGAAGCCATAAAATGTCGGGAGGGTAGGCTGCACCGTTGAACATAAAGTCCGAACTCAAGGACAATCAAAACATCGGCTGCCGGAAATAGAATTTATTACACTGAAAAAAAAAACTTTCAGAAGCAATGACTGTTATCATCAAAGTTGAGTGATCCTTTGATCACGAGGACTCCGCCGGGAGACCATCATCGGACTGAGACTGGGCCACATGACTGCGGCCGGGCCAGGTTTTCTAAAAGTTAGTCCAACGTGACATCATGCCGGGGCCCGGCCGAAACTTGAAACGTAGGGGATTTGACAGTAGTGTACCGTAATTGAAATGATTGCAGGCTTCCGTAGTACCCGTGACCGTACTCAGTACTGGACCGGGAGCCGGGCCGGGCCGATCGCCGGGATGGCATCACTGACTCAGTGACTCGGAGTCATCCCGGGATGCCATGATTGACCGCACAGCGCCGCGCGGCACTGCCGGGCTGATCATCGGATCACTGAGTCACGTGGCCCCGCCCGAACTTACCGTCGGTCACACATACCGTAGTACCGGGCAGTTGAACGGTTTCCCACCGCTCGCGGTACCTCACTCGTAGTTCATCAATTGGGGTACCTTCTTTGCCAACTTGCCAGTTGATCCGTGGCAGTGGGGGTGGGCTGTCTGGTTTGAATTTTTGTACGGTACCAGAAATGATTTTTGAGTAATTCAAGTACATAAAAGTTGTTTTTGAGAGACGGGAGTCAAGTTTTAGGATGTATATATGGTACAAAAGCTCCTGGCAACCCCTCCGAGGCTCTCTGGCAGCGGTTGACCCGAGCCCGGGCCGCCAGTGGGACTCCCGCAACCCGGGTGACCGCCGTAATACCCGCCGTAGTCCGATCCGACGGTCCGGGACCGTACTCGTTGGCTTTTCAACTCAGTATGCGGGCCGCCTTTGACGGTTGAAAGCCATAGTCGCACCACTGATCCGAACCGTTCGTCGAGAGACATGCGGCCAAGTTGCACCGGGCGCCGCAGGGCCGCCGCGACTCCCGGAGTCCGATGATCATCCCCGGGCGGGGGCTACCGTAGTACTCTCACTCCCGGCGGGCCTGGAGGGCCGGGCCCGAGGCCGGGCCGCCCGGGACCGGCGCCGGGCGAACTTGGCAACTTAGTTGGGCTGATCAATCATGTTCGGAAACTCATGCAACCTCGCCGGGCCCGGTCACGGTCGAGTCCGATAGTATCACCGCAACTTGGCAACGTAGTACTTCAGTGTGTTCCGATTCTGACATGCGTAAAAGCTGATAGTACTGTCACTCAGTACTTCAGCTGTAGGCGAGCCCTCAAGGTGGCCAGTCGAAAGCCTAGTCACGCGACACTGGTTGGGTTCTCACTTGCAAGAAAGCCACTTTGATAGACAATGTGAAGCAGAAAACAAAGTTGAAGGAACAAAAGTTTTCCTACTTCTTGCCTTGAGAGAACGTGATTTTGTGAAGCTCTTCATCCCTTCTTCCTCCTCTTGTGAAAACTAGGACGAGGGTAGCTAATCTTACTTTACTTTAAATGAGTCTGAGTCGTCACCCATCGCTTGAGTCACCAACACACGCAAAAATTAGATCTCACGACCGTATGTACAGTGGGCCCGACAACCTGGAGGCGTCTGTTCGCATCATTCACGAAATGTATGGTCCAGAAACCAAAAGTGCAGGTCAGACCCAAGTGATGTTTCCTTCCACCTTCAACAAAGGTTGAGGAAAAGTCAGGGGGGTACAAATCCTGAAATAAACCGGCCAAGCTTCGACAGTAGCATCCTTTGTTTGCTCCCCTGGCCCCACCCCCTCTGGTCACCGAGCTCGATGTATTGACCCATGGCATGCTTGTGGTTTCAATCGCAAAACTCCTTTGACGTCTTGTATGGGAAACCTGAGCCGTCAAAGTGGCTGCCGCGCTCGATCATTGAGTGCAAGGAGATCGTGGCAATCAGATTGCATGTCCAACCCAGTAAAGACACAACTCTGCCCAGCTGTGTCATCGCTGAACCACGTGCTTGAGCGCCTCCTCAAATAGATCATCCATCGACAGCTGTCTTGACCGAAACTTGAGATGCTGACTGTGTGTAGCACAGTCAGCTGTGCTGGAAGAGATGCCACCATCCCTTGCATCGGCTTCGATGTCACAATCGTCTGTGCTTTCACAATCGCTGTTTTCTTCGTCATCGTCATCTTGCTCTTCATCCGATTCGAACTCTGATATTTCATCTTCTCCTGCAATTCTCTGCGTGCACAAGAGAAGGTGACATGTCAGCTTACAACAAGAGAAACAACTGCAAATAGATCACATCGGGCGGAGCCTCCGTGGACCGTCTTCTGATCCCCCCTGTTCGTTTGGTAGAGGAGGACGAAACTCCCTCCGAAGGCTCAGATTGGCAAGCCTTCTTCCTCGTTTTCCTCGGCTTTGAGTCCTTTGATCCTCGCGGTCTACCTGGAAGTCTTGCGCTAGGTTTCCATGTCCGCTCGTGATGCAGGCGCTCCTCCTCAGTCCACAGTACTCTGGTGACATTCCACCATGTCCGACGGTTCCAGATGTCTCGAATAGCCTTGGCTGTCACGCCGAACTCTTTGGCTACTTCCTCGCTCTTCGCTGTCTTCTTTCTCTTGTCGTTTGTTCGAGTTGAATAGATTGTGAGGACCATGGCCTTTGTGAGTACCCCCTTGGTCCGGAAATGATCGTTCTCCGTACCATAATGTATTTCTGCAGACCTACAAACCTCTGCATCACTTAAGGTGCCAGAAGAAATCAAAAGGAAATCTATTCCTTTTGTAATGTCTACATGCAAACTTACCTGCTATCAACATCTTGCTGCTGTCCTTGTTCTTCCATGGTTCTTGTTCTTGACGGATCGCATGCAGTTCATTTTCCTTGGATATCTACAAGCATTGAAACCCCCTCTGAACGTAACTATCTTTTTCTCCATGTATGTTGTGTCATTGGCCTGCCAACCTGTCAGCATTCCCAGTCAAATCTCAATCACTCTTGGCTTGTTCAGATTCTTGTTCATGATGGAAGTGGGAATGTCGACACAAAAAGTACAGCATCAAACAAACTTGGGGTCTTGACATGAAAAAATACAAAAATGAAAATACAATCCAATATACATCTGATCTGTTTGATGGAATTGTCAACTATCTGTTTTTGAGTCGCCTATTGAATTATGGACAGCGGGTTTGAGAAAGAAAGATGGATGCAAAATGAAGTGAATGAAGTATGCTGAAAGATTTCAGCAGCACAGCTGTAATTCAAGTTCAAGGGTTTGAAATTGACACAGGGAGCACTGGCTCATTGGAAACGCAAGTGCAAATGCAATGAATGTTGTAATCGATGCAGCATCTTGAAGGTATGTATTCCTTCTAACGCATGCGGCCCGCACAGACCAAACATGCTGCATGAATCTGCTTGAGGTTGCGAGAGGTTGGCGATAAGGTAAGGAAAGAGGTGCAAACACTATAAAATGTCAAAATGACGATGGAAGATGTAGAGGCTTGCGATGAGAAACAGAATGATTGAGAGGGTGACGAGACGAGGGAAGAGATCTTGGGGTATGGCGAGGGATGGCAGAAGAGTGAAGAACAAGAATGCAAGGAGATCAGCCGCATTGTTGCTCCGAAATTGTCCTGACGGAGGAGAGAAGCGCCCCTGGACAGCGGAAGGGGAAGCAGAACCGGTGGTTGTGAGGAGAAGAAGTGGTGGGTAGTGGGGGCTATGTTAGGGGGTGGGGTCCTGGGGGCTGTGGGGGTAGTCCTTAGTTGTCGTTACGCGGCGGATTTAACCTTAGTCTGATTGTGAGACGTTGTGATATAGGAAAAAAGCAATCGATTTTCCTTCTAAAATAAGTCAATAATTTGTACCATGACTTTAACTTTTAGAGTTTTATTCTCTTTTTAATTCATTTTTGGAAGTGTTGGATTAGTAGTGAAACTGAAATGTTTGCGCAGAACCAGCGCGCTACGGTGTGAGATGTTAGCGCTATGCTGTTGTAGGTGATGTTCCAAGCAAGTACACGCAGGATGAAGAAGGACGTAATACGCACGAGGTATTGCATGGTCGAATTACATTACTCATGTTCCAATTACAATGAACACAGGAACAAAGTGAAAATGTACAATACATATCATCACATGTACTGAATATCTGTTGCTAAACTTCATTCCATACACCTCAGCTCAACTCACTTCTACTCAGAACCGTCGTGATGGTGCCTGTCTCGCTTCTTTTACGAATCCATGATGAACATGAAGCTTGCCCTGCTGTGCTTCCCTGAGAAGGCGGTATCCATTTGTGTTGCTAAATCTTGTCAATCATGCGTCGAGGCGAAGCCAATGATTCATTGATTGATTGCCATTCTGCAAGTTTACCTCATGAACACCGTTAACCATAGGAGTCCTCACCATGAACACTGACATTCGCATCGCAAGTTCGAATATCAAGTTCAAACCGCTTTCAGTGCCCTCACGGTCCATGCAGCCTCCAACCCCATTCCTCAAGTTTGAAGGTCGTGACATTCCTGAGCTGCTGAGGCATCAATCCTCTTGTCTCACAATGGGAAGCACGAGCCACGGGTTGATGTGCACCGAGCATCAGGTCGAATGGTGTTTGACTCAACGTTCATCGCGCGGGGGGAAGGGAGAACCTTGAACCCGCAACGGTTGGAGCTAATCCTGTGGGGGTTTTAAAGCACGTCAGCAATCTAGGAAATGGGGGGTGGGTAGTAGTTTGGCTGCCTTATTTTACTTGTTGGGACATGGAGAAAAAAACTAAAAACAAAATAGGGAACTGGGAAGGGCTGGCGGACTTGACCGACAGACTTCGCGAGGAACGACAAGCCAGTCCGTCAGCCAGCTGACGATCAGGATTGAAGGAAAGAGCGGAGGAGTGAACGCAGGATACAAAAAAGGGTCGCGGGCCAGAGCACTGAAAATCAGGCGAAGAAAATCATCTGATACGGAACGAAGGGCATGAGCATTGTGACACAGCCAAAGCTATGCCGTCGATATCGGTCGAGGATAGAAGACACGGCACTAAGAAGACAGAAAGAATTAGAGTTGCGCAGTTGTGAGCAACGAACAGCGACAGATGTAATGATGTATTCAAGATGATATGCAGAAGCAAAGTGGAGGAAATCTAGTGCAATGCAAGGTAGCTAGCACTACAGGTACATTGGAAACGTGAGGAAAGCAAAACAGAAACTAGAAAACATGAAGGGAAGCAAGCCTGCAAAAGGGTAATGCAGGAGGCTTGAGCAGGAGACAGACTCATGGAGTGTTGACTTGTGAGATCAACCAATAAGGTGATCAACATCCGACTAACCAAGACAAGGCTGAGACTTGAGCTTTGACGAGAGATGCGGTAAATCGGGCTGATTAAGATCGACACAGCAATACACAAAGACTGAGCCGCAGAAGAATTGAATCAAAAGTACTGAGGTAGGCCAAGGATTCATAAACTCGTATCCTGCCTGGCTGTCTTACTTCACTCGGTGCTGTTGTTGGAGTTGAACATGGATGGCAATCGGTTACTGTTAGGCCTTGACGTGCTGATGACAGGCTCAGGAGTGCAGAGTCTGGTCAAGATTATGCACGTGCGGTCGTCTCCAGCGACGGGCTCAAAACCAGTCGTTGTAAGCCTTCTTGTTTCATTGCGCTACAAGACCATCATCAGCGTCACAATTTCGCAGCATGGCTCCTAGTCCACATACTGATTTTGAGTAAAAGTTAAGTTTAAAAGAGTGCTAACGAGAACCGGCACTGCTGCTCCCCAGGAGTAGAGGCCGACAAAAAGAAGAGGCAGTCACTTGGATTGCAGATGCCTTGATCAGCTTCTGGGCTCGCCGTGGATCGAACACAGGACCTTTAGATCTTCAGTCTAACGCGCTCCCAACTGCGCCACAAACCCACTGCCTCGATTGCACCTAGGGTCATTGCAGTATATATAGTAGATAGTCAAAGGTGGGGTAGTCGGGGAGGGGTGAGAAGGGGTGGGTCGGCGAGGAGGTGGGGTGGACATGGGGTTTGTGACTTTCCGGCTCCAGTTTCATGCGTCGTACGGGATCGAACAGAGATCGTGTCCCCTCCTCCTCCTCCTCCTCTTCACTCTCCCTCTCTTGTTGCTCCCTCCTCTACCAACCAGCCTCTTGCTATGACGACATCTTCCTGTCTTCTCTCCTCCTGGCTTCATTCACTTGATTGGCTGCCTACAAACTATCCTCCTCTGTCTCCTGTGCTCGTTGCAACTTGATAGGAGTATGATAGGAATGTCGCCAGCCTTTTGATGCGCTTGTACAATATGCATTCGTCTTTGACTTTCTTTGGATCTGTTGATCGTTACAACATTCATGCCTAGTTTTGCCATCATCTCTCCAAAACTCTGTTTGTCCATGACAGTTCACCGTACCAGGCAGGACATGGCCACCGTGTCGAGTTCGATCTTGCCTCTAGGGGGGCAGCCGGACTTGTTGCGATTCAACGATGAGGTGCTTGTTGGTCTTCATGTACCAGCCAGGGTTGGGTTGAAAGTTCTGCTTTCGTACCAGGTTAATGGTCTCAATGTAACAAACATTTTACTGAATTTTCAACATCATCAGGGGATAGTTGAGCTAAAAAATGACAGCATCGGCCATAAATTGACAAGGTTGAAAGACAACTGTGTCTAAATGTCCTTTTCTTGTTCTTTACCTGCAATCATCCCTTCAAGAAGGGGTTTTATCTCCCGCTATTTGTTAAATGTCGCAACTGTCTGCAGTTCCGTGGTGATCGTTGCCTGGTTGTATTGTCGTTTAGTGATCTCTGCGTGGATTCTTGCTCTTCTGTCCTTTATTCCCTACACCCTTTCAGTCTACTGTCCACCTCTTCCATCCTCACATCCATCTACAACCGAGTATTCCTTTATGAACGTCTGAACATACATCTTCCCTGCATGCACGTGTATGGTGGGCTTAAACATGAATGTTGTCATCTTTCCTCACTTTTCTTTCCTGTTCTGATCTGTGTTCTGTCTACGCTTTATATGTGATTTTTCCTCAAGAGGACGCAATGGATATATCACTCGCGTTCATGAGAATGGCAACGCCTGCATGGTGAAATGGAGCGCCACTGAGAATGAATGCGGCTGGTATCGTGCGGGGGCATACGGAACTTACCATCTCAAACTCCATGAAATGGTAACTGTAGGCGCATTTGTCATGGTGCTGACGGTAAAGATGAACTTAGGGAAACAGCGTTGCAGAGGTGGAAGACAGGAAGAACAGAGTGGAATCGGAGTCGACGATGGACGCTCTCCTGCATGCTTCGAGCAGCGGCAACTTGTAATAGTTTAAACCACCTTAGGTGAGGTGGAAGCACTGATGCAGACAACTTGTCGTGTTACAGCAAGATTAACATGATTCGAATAATTGTTATACGCAATTGTTAAAATCTGTCCAACTACGCTGTCTTCTCAAGCATTGACGCAAGAGTCACAGAATGAAAGTATTCCTGAATTTCATGAAGAGGCTTTCTGATGCAGGAAATTCATTTCACAACAAAAAATTTAAAGCTTCACGCCGAAATGGTCAACAGTCCCCTTTACACGCTGACTTGTGTGCTTCTGTGTAAGGAGAAAAGGTCAACGAAAGAAATCAAGCACACCGAGCCTCAGTCAGACCTGTGTGGCTTTGTTGTTCTTCTTGGCAAACTTCTGGTTGCGGATGAACTTGGGGTCCATCTGACAAAACGTCAGTCATGGTGAGAAAAGACGGTACGTGCTGCAGTGCCAAGACCAAAGAAAGAGAAGCTAAATGGGAATGAGAACGTGCAGGCAGGCTTACCCCCTTGGTAGAGATCTTAGTGCCAGTTTTAGGGCGCTTAATTCCATTCCTGTGCGCTTTGTAGTTCTGGTTGTGATTGGTGTGATTCTTGGACTTGGCCATCCCTGCTGAACCATATCAGAGAAATACAGACAGAACATACATCTCCGCAATCAGATATTGAACACATGTCCATATAAATTCAACTATATGTCCATCCCTGCCTCTGCAGGAGCTCAGCCTAACTTGCGCTGACTAGTTCTTCGTATCGCTGTTACTAGGTCTCATATGTTCAACTTGCAGGCAAAGGAAAATCATACATGGAGTAAACAACAGTTTGCACGCCAATTCATCAAATCCCAAATGTACATCCAAGATTCCGCTTCAAAACAAAATCCCCTCAGAATTTTTCTTACAGTTCCCCTGAGTATGATAGCTGTGGCCATTTTTGCCATCACAATCAGCCAAAGAATTTTGTGTGTATCATCGTAAATGTGTCTCTCGTAGCATTCATCATATTTGAAACCAGAAATCCAACCATCAAAGCTCATGCCATGCAGTCAGGGCTGATTATAGGAACGCATGCGGTTCCAACAACAGCACAACACCTCCAGGCTAATTTGCTTCCCTGCATATCGATATTCTTGAGCTATCACCGCAACAAAGCAGCAAACAGCTCATAACTTGTGATCAATCTCTTTTCACATCTCTCATCTTCTTCTCTCTCTCGTCGCATGCGGCGCATACATCCCTCCTCCTCCTCTCGCCATCTCACCTCCTGCTCGAGCGTGCACGCGGCCAACCTTCTTTTTTTTTAAACGGTTAAATCGTAACCGTTTCCCATGACGGCCCGCCCCGGCAGCCGGAACTTGGGAACTCAGTTGAGTGACCTCGGGCCGCCTCCGGGCTGCTGCGGTGTGCCGGGCCCGCGCACTTGAAGTCCTCAAAGTTGAGTTAAAGATCAGTACCGTGTGACTTCGAGTGAAGCATCCGTGTGAACGAACCAACTCGATCGGCATGGCTGCACCGGCCGCTAGCTTCGACTGGGACGACGCGGAGCTCATGAGAGCATGGGAGGCATCACGACGAACCTACAACGTGAGCAGTACGCAGCCAGTGAAGGGATCTGTGATGAGTTGCTCATATCGTGATGACATCATGGCATGCTTGACATAGCATGCCTACAATGTTTCTTGTATAGGCTGGAAAAGCTGGAAAGCGGGTGAAAGTTGAGGGATCGAGACAGAGAAAAATCAATCAGTTGAAATCGTATCAAAGAAGTCAGTTAGTAGATGGATCATTGAGCTCTGTGTTTGCTCCAACAGTGTTAGAACGTGGTTATGATGAGCCATACCTAGATGTCTCAATGCTGATTTTGCTCGCTGAAGATGTGTTGCCTTCACTGCTTGCAATGACATGTCGATCAGGACGAAGAAGCCCTCGAGGAAGAAGAGGCCCTGCTGTACCCAGAAGAGGAGGAGGAATATGAAGGGGACGAGGAAGAGGCGGCCAAGGTCGGCGAGCAGGAGAGGACAGTCGAGACTTGGGCAGGGGCTGTGAATGGATATCAGGTAAGACATCTGTGCTGCGAATCTTTCATCCTCTCAACGTTCGTCGCTGACCTCGCGAGCGTCGGCAACATCCTCTCGTCCGTCTCTTGTCCGGCTCACTCCTGCCTGCAGGAGTCAGCTTCCTACCCTGCACCGCACATGGCAACTGAGATGAGCTGGTGCCGGCTGCCCTCTGTGTTCTCCTCTCACCAGAGCTCCGATCCTCCAGGGCCAACACCTACCCAGGAGCCCACACCATGCCTCCTCCTACCGGCTATCCTCCCATGCCCTCTTACCCCCCAGCCTTTCCTCCTTATCCCTCCTACCCCTACTCTCCATACTCGATTCCTCCTCCCTACATGCACGAGCTTGCCCTTCAGCAGGATGCCTACTACAGGCGAGCATGCCGGAGCTGCTGCATGTGGATGAGGCTCACGAAGTTTACAGGGCACCTGCGTCCTTTCACGCGCAGGAGAGTCAAGCTCGGGGAGGAGGGAGGAGAGGAGCGGCAGGTTTGCTCAGCACCATGCGTGTGCTCGACGTTAACGTTCCGTTGTGCTCCCAGCAGCAGCTCAGCATGGAGGATACGAAACAATGGAGCAGGCCAACTTGAACGGGAGGGCAGCGGATGATGAGGGAGAAACATCCACGGAAGGATCCGGTAGTAGAAACCTTAGAGAATGAAGAGGAATGCTTGCGAAGTTTTCGAACTGAGTGTCTTGCTTGCCAGGCGTGAAGTTCTATGAAGATGGAGTCCCTCTCACAAAGAGGGAGGTCGAAGAACAAGCGTACCCCGGTGATTTCACTCGTTCCCCTACACAGCTCCTCCTCAATCCCTTCGCCTCCCAATTTGCTCTTCCGCCACTCTCCTTGGCCAACGGTTTCGTCAATCCTCTTGTCCTTGCTTGTTCTTGCGCTCTTGGTTACCGACTAAGGAGAATTTGTTCTGATGCCTCAGAATTTCTCGACACCTCGATACCTCAAGATAGACCGCATGCCAGGTCATTCAGCCTCCATGTTCCACTTCCTCTTTTGCTCTTCCGCTCTCCTCCATCCATTCATTCCTCAATATTTCTTCATTTCCCTTCCTTTTTCCGTCATCTTGCTATTCAGGAAAAATCTTCGGAAAACGTATTCTCCCCCTGGTATGGCGCGTTCGAAAGGTAACGAGGTTTCCTGCAGCCTGCTCGTCTGATCCCTACCTCCCTGCACTCCCCCAACCTGACCTCCCTCACGTCATCCACTTTCAGCAGGCCCTGTCGATGTGCCTCTGCCTCCTGTAGTCGACGATGAGGACGAGGACTTGTCTAACCTCCTGCTTGCATGGTACGCCTGTTGCACTCTGCCACTATCCCACTTCCTGTCCCTTATCCGAACTCGGCAATTCGCAATCCCTCGCAGCTTTCTCGAACATTCTCAACCCTGCTCTCCATCATACCACTACCGCTCCCCTCACCTCTCCCGGTCTTTCCCTCATCGTGTCTCAGGTACTACACGGGCTTCTACACCGCCAAATATCAGGTGCTCTCCTTCCTGCAGCATCCGATCCGCTCCTCGCGGTGACACAGGGCAGATGAGGAGGAGCAAAACATACAGCTCGGGGTCAGGCGAGCCATGAGAAAATCGAGAAGCGAGGGAGGGAGAGAGAGAGGAGGAAGGAGGGGACTGGGAGGAGGCTCTGCTGGAACCATCCTGGGTATTTGACGGAAAGGTGAGGGTGGGTTGTGGGAGGCGCAGGGCGGACCAGCTGAAGCAGTAGTAAATACTTCTTGGCTTGTCTGATCTGCATTCCGATCGAGTCGTTTCACATTGAGAAGCCCAAGGACGACTTCTTCTCATCCGCCGAGTTGGACGAGGCAGACTGTCACGAATTTGAGTCATGCCGCGCCATGCCAACCGATACCTCCCTCTTTCTCCTCTCCATCTTCCTCTCCCTCTCGATCTCTCACTCTCCTTCTCCCCTCCCTGATTCTATCCTTCACCCTCGCGCCTAGCTGCTGCCAAATCCTCCCTCCTCTACCTTCGCAAAGTCCGTCGCAGCGTCCATTGTTAGCTCATCCTCCGTGAGTAGGCGCGCAACCTTTGCAAGCTGCTGGTGAGGAGGTGGACAGGGCAAGACAGGGCAGGACAGGGCAGGACAGGACGGTAGAGAAGGGGAGGGGAGGAGAGAACAGCACAGCACAGGGCAGGAGCAAGGGGAACGAGGCACTGGTTACCTTGGGGCTGATGGTGAAAGTATTGCAGCCCCGAGCAGCGAGCACGGCAAGCTTGTGAAGACTTGAGCGGTGGCGTTGAAGCAAGTCAAATCTCACCTGGTCCGCGTCGCGGATGGAGGCGACGAGTACTCTTGTCTTGGAACGCATCCCATCGACGATCTTCGTGGCCGTTATGCCGTTACATGTCAAGCCTCAAGTCAGATCTCACCTTCTGCATGTCGACAACAGATTGCATCCCATCCCTTCCTGCATCGTTCATCCTTCCAAGATAAGGAGCCACGTACTCGGCTCCTGCACTGACGCTCGTGATGACCTGTAAGATATTCCATGAGGGTAAGGCGGTTCGGCTAGAAGGCACGGAACTGAAGACAAGAGAAGGAAAAGAGACAGGAAAGGGAAGCAAGCAGAGAAGGAGGAGGAGGCAGCAGACTCAAAAGAATGACCCCGAAACTATGAACAGCAAGGGAGTAGAGTTGAGGAGGCAACCTGATGAGGACTGTAGCAGGCAGTTGTACACACTCGGATCCCCAAGTTTGACATCATGCTTGCTGCTTCGATTCCCGCGAACGTGAGAGGAACTTTGACGACAACACGAGAGTCGAGGTTCGCCAGCCGAATCCCGTTGTCAACCAGCTCGTCGACCTGCACAGCACGGTCATTTCTAACTCCCAGCTGACTTGCGATCGACCTTGGTCCCCCACGTCTGGCACATGAACTCCTTGGAGCCCAAGGCAAAAGCTGTTGCTGCAAGATCTTGGAGCGCGTGATGCGAGCAAGGCACTTTCGCACGTTCCAGCTAAAAGAGTCAACCTCAAATCATGTTGAGGACAAGAAGAATGGCGGAGTCGAAAGGTAGCCGGGTGCAGGATCGGGAGGAACAACCCGTCGGATGAGGGAAGCGAGGATAGAGCAGGGAGCGTTTCACTGACCAGCAAGGGATTAGTCGTGACGCCATAGAAGATGCCGAGGGGTAGGAGTTCCGCCATTTCGTTCAAGTTTGCGGTGTCCAGGAACAGGCGGCAATCACCCTGTCACAATGGTGAGCTCAGCCATGCGTGATCCTCTTCTCCACCTTCTTCTCCGTCATTGATGGAGCCGGAACGTCGAGCGTGTGCTGATAGAAACAAGTCGGTCAGCAAGCATCGCAAGAAAATCCGTGAAAATGAGAGGCCGGGCGGGTCAGTTCAAACACAGGGTTGCGGATCAGGGAAGGAGAAATGATTGTTAATTTTCTCGAGGATAAGATAACATTTGATAGGAAGAGGTGCGCATGATCTCAAGGACGGCATGCTGTCACTTCACCTGCTTCCATAGAGACACCTTGTCCTTGGCTGCAGCAGACTTGCTCGATGATGCTGGCATCGTCCACTGAGTGACAGGTCGTTTTGTTGGCAGAGGATGATCCTCTTGGTCTCCGTTCATCGGAGTGCTGCATCGAATTCTCGTCTTGCCCATGTCAGTCTTGCGGCGACCGGCTTGGCCCAGCGCAACATTCCTAGCGAGCAGGGACGAGGACAAGGAACTGAAACACAACCTGATGGCATGAACAGCGTCAGGGTACCGAGAAGGAGGGACATGGCATACAGAGGTACCGGCCTGAAGCAGGTGTCTTAAGTTCAGCATGTGAGAGGCTCACTGCCCATGCCGCCAAGTTCACAGCCATCGTCAACCAAGCCAGCCGCATTCCTGCCATCTTACGCCTCTTCCTCAAGGGTACTCCCACTCTGACCACCCACCTTCAATATTCCATGAAATGTAACTATACTATACCGGTAGTCATGGTATGATGACACTACCCTACCCTATCTTCTCGATTATGGAATTCCGCTGAAGCTTTGGCGTGATCGGATTTCAAGAGCTCATAACCGGTTTAATAAGGTCAGGCTCTCTTCAGGCTTGGCCAGGACTTTTATTCCTTAGGCCCCCGGCCGGGCGGCCCGCCGGGCGGCCCGACCGACCGAGCCGCCAGCGGGGCGGGCAACGGGTACTCAAGGGCCTCCAGCGACTCCCTTGAACTTGAACATATTTTAAAACTGGAAGGGAGAGGATTCAGAATTTGAAGTCGCAAACAACGGAACCAGCTCTGAAATTTGAAACTTTGAAACTCGCGGGAGTCGTCAAGCTTTGTGAAGGACGTACCAGCGTACCCGTCCGTTGAATGCGGATCCTTGGTCTTCGGGGTGGGTAAGGGTAGTTTATGATGAGGGGTGGGTGATGAGAGTTGGAGCTAGCACAGACACGAGGGGTGGGGCATGTACGGAGAAATTTGAAAAGGAAACACTATGAAAATGGGGGTAGGGGTCACTTCTACAGCAGGAGATCCGCCATTTGTAGGGTGGGGTGGGATGATCGATTGTTGGGGGTGGTATCCGGCTTTACTCCCTCTCTCAGGTGATATATGGACGAAAAGGAGGACCCTGGGTGGATTCCTGGGTAAAGAAGGGGTGGAAAGGTGATCGGGTAAGGTTGAAAGGTCGATGGTACTACTACCTGCCAGCACAGTGGAATGGTGGGGCGGATGGGCTAAGTGAGGTGAAAAAGGTGGGTAGGGTGAGTCAAAAAAGGGGTAGGGGTGCTACTAGCACGATCTCCAAACTTTTATTCCCCAAGTTTGGTGACATCCTGATCAGAGCTTCAATCAAGTTTCAACAGATGACAAGATAATTTGAAGCTGGTTCCCAAAATTCGACTGAACATTTTGAAGTATTTTCATTACTGGGGCGGACCTGGATCCTATCATTTTATTCCCCAAGTGAACTACCCTACCCATCAAGGTACCCTCTACTGGGTCTTAAAATTCAACCCCACCCCCTATATTTCCCGATAGTTTGTGGACACCCCCGGGGAGTTGCTCGCGTAAAAGAAATTCGAGTACCCCTAGCGTCAACAACCAGCGCAGCCGCACGGTCGGAATGGCATAGGGCACAAGGTACACATTTTCATAAGTAAAGCTATAGCTTGCTTCCTGGCAGGATATACTGCAAGGGAGCTTTTGTTGGGGGACAGAAGAAGGATTACCCCCCTACCCCAAGAATCAGTACTCCCCTGCACGGGCTGTTTTTTTGTCACCCCTTCTTCCTTGATCCCATCAAACCCTACCCCAAAATATCTTACCCCTACCTACCCTCCGCGTCGATTGGGGTTCTGAACCCTACCCTATCTGATATTCCCCAAATCAACAAAACCGCCCCAGAGGGGGGAGTCCAGTACCCCACCCCGATCAGGACACCCTACCCTTACTCCAACACCCCTACCCCCTAGAACTCTCACCCCCACCCCACGTGCGTCACCGATTGCGTCCTGAGTCTTCCCCCCAAATCCCTTCATCCCCTCCCCCCCCGCCTCCGCCGCTGTTTCCTCCTTCCCCCGTCTTCTTCCCCCACTTCGCGTTTGCTCCCGGCACTTCACCCTCCTCCTCATTAAAAGCCAAGCTCCCCTGCCTTCTGCTCCAGCACACTCCCGCTCGCTTCTTTGTCCTGCACATCTTTCCTCCCTCGGAACTCCTTGTTTGATATTCCACGTACCTTTGAAATGGATCAAATCATCACCTCCAACATAGAACAGATGAACATCGTTGCCATCGACGAGATCGAAGCGATCTCCGAGACCATCATCACGCCTCAGCAAGTCTTCGAGGAAACCATCCCCGTTGCTGTCATTCAGAAATCTGCCCCCGCGGAAGAAATCATCACATGCGACGATGATTGGGGCGTTTCCAAGTTTGTTTACTCGAACAGCATTGATGGAATCTTAGCTGAAAACAAAGTCCGTGTGCTGCCGGCTGGCTACAACACCGCTGAGCTCATTCTCGACATCTCCGCGGAGTCTGAGGAGCAGGATCCTTTCTACATTGTTGATCTCACTACCGTTCTCACCAAGCTCGATGACTGGAAGACTCTCATGCCCCGCGTGAAGCCATTCTATGCCATGAAGTGCAACAACGATGGTATCATCTGCAAGATGCTTTGCGATGCTGGGTGCGGATTTGACTGCGCCTCCAAGGCGGAGATTGAGGCTGCGCTTCAGTTTGGCGTCTTGCCCGATCACATCATCTATGCCAACCCCTGCAAGCAGGAGAGCATGCTGCGCTATGCTCGCTCAGTGGGAGTCAAGAAGATGACCGCGGACAATGTTGAGGAGCTACACAAGATTGCGAATTGCTTCCCTGAAGCCAAAGTCGTCCTTCGCATTGCTGTCGATGATTCCAAGTCCGTCTGCCGTTTCAACTCAAAGTTCGGTGCTGCGCAGCACGAATGGGATGTCCTCCTGAGGACCGCCAAGGCTCTCGACCTTGATGTTGCAGGCTTCAGCTTCCATGTTGGCTCAGGATGCGGAGATCTCAAGCCCTTCGCCGACGCAGTGGCTGCAGCCAGGGACGCCTTCGACCAAGCTGAGGCTTACGGATTTTCCCCTTCCATCCTGGACTGTGGTGGAGGGTTTCCCGGGACCAATGACGGGGCCTTCTCTTTCCACGAGGTCGCCAGCACGATCTCGAATGCCATCGACCATTTCTTCCCCCCGTCTTGTGGAGTTCAGATCATCGCTGAACCCGGCAGGTACATGGTAGCAGCAAGTCACACCTACTCAGTGTCTGTCATCGCCAAGAGGCAGCTCACAGCAGCACAGCTAGCTGATAGTGCGGCGATCGAATCCTTCGGATCGCGCAGCGATAAGGATCACGATGGGGCTCACGATTCTGGCTTCAAGAAGGCAGAAGAGGTACGGGACTCCAACACGCCCGAAGTAGCTCTATACATCAACGACGGATGTTACGGCTCCTTCAACTGCATCGTGTTCGACCATGCCATCATCACTCCCAAGGTCCTCGGAACCAAGTCTGCCCTTCCCTTCGATACGCCGTCCAAGCTCTTCGGACCCACTTGCGACAGCATCGACGTGGTCATGCCTTGCACTCTCCTTCCCCAGCTTGATATCGGCGACTGGATCTGGTTCCCCAACATGGGCGCTTATACTCGCTGCGCGGCGTCTCGCTTCAACGGCCAGGGAGCCTTCAACATCCATTACGTTTGGGCTGGAGTGCCGTCCAAGTAGATAACATCCTGTGATGATACCCTAGTAATAAAAATGCCTTTCAAACTCGTTTTATTGTGTGTCTGGAGACTAAATGATTGGCAGCAGAAGGTATGGATGTAGTAATAAGGAAGATTGTGCATGATTGGTAATAGATGTGTTCCTTTTTTAACAGTTTTACTGTCATCCGATGCTGTCTTTCTGAAATTGTAGCTTAAAAGCACGGAGCAATCCTTGATATTCGCCGTTCACTATCCCACCATACTGCAGCAGAGATAATGTGAGAATCACAATGCTGGCCTTAAGGCACCCACCTTCTGATCCATTTTCAGGTATTTCAGCACGGACCCTGAATTTCTTTGCAATGCAAACGCGATTTCCCTGCATCTGGTTGGAAGAAACTGGTCAGTAAGACAAGAAACAAAGCTCGCATAAGCGCACCCGTCTTTCTCTATGTCGTTGCCTGAGATGTCAAGCTTCGTGAGTGACATATTGAATTGGAGTGCGTTGGCGAGGTAACGGGCCCCTTGATAGCCGATACTCTCATTCACCAACCCCAAAGTCTTTAAGTTGGTGTTGGCAGCGAGCGCAGCTGAAATAGTCATACACCCTCCATCCCTTATGTCATTGCCATCAAGAAACAATGTCGAGATGTCCTGCAACGACTTCGCCAGGTATTTCCCTCCCGACACCCCGAGAAAGCAGTTTCGGATGTGCACTGTGCTCAGACTGCTGGCAGCCTGGTAGTGCTTGATGATGTCGATCACATCTGAGCCGTTGGTCGGCTCATTCTGCCATGTGATGGCCACGACCACCCCCCGCTGCAGTGCCTCCTGCGTGGTAGCCTCCTTTAGGGTGCCGGGTACGATTACCCGCACGACTCCTGATCCGTCTTCCTTGGGAGGGAAACTCTCGACCACCCACTGCACAGCGAGTCAGTGCGAACATGCAACGCATGCGAGCCGTGACCTCGGGGAAGTTCTGGGATGAGATGATGCCTGTCAGCTTTTCACACCGCATTGGGCGCTTCCCGCTTTGAATCGCGTTGAACAGTTGGACCGAAGTCATGGCTTCTGTCTCGCCGTTCTCACCCTTTCTTGCACCTGACAGCACGGTGAGCCTTGGCATGAAACAGGTAGCTCTGTGAAGACACTAGTTTCCAGGGGTACTCTGAGCCCCCCCTTTTTTAAACCCCCCCCCTAGGGTTAGGTTAGGATGTTTTTTTGGTGGAAAGTGTATGTATCTTTATAACCCTGTTTTATTTTTTTTTTAGATAAATACGCCGGAGAAATTTATATTATTTTAA